GTAATGACATTAGTTGGTGACAGTCGCACTAAAATCACCAATTGGTAGAAGTTAGAATTTATGGAATACTGACTGACTGACTGGTCACTGAGGATTCGGGTGCCAGTAGCTGGATGAATCGTCTGCGAGCTAGCTTGACTTGTGATATGAAGGTGTCAGGCTGGAACCGTGGTAAAATAAGGTGAGTCCATAGTGCAAATGAGTCCGAAACTAGGCTGACGAAGCAACCGACTGTTCACTTCTCGAGTGGGAGTTTTCAAAATTTTTCTCTAACTTTTATCAATGCGTGATCAAATGCTGAAGGAACATAACTGTTGTTGTGAGTACTCAACCTTTTTAAAAAGCTTTTTTAAATAACTCATATCACTACATCAGAATATATGGTATACAAAGTTTTAGGTTTATAAAATTTATATCACAACACAGAGGAACGTTTTCATACTGATAAAACCCTGCTGTCCCTAGTATTCATGACGAAATCTATAGTTTGCATGGAGGATTTAATCATCAGCTGACATCAGTCAGAGAACCACTGAAAAACCTGGGAGTACTGGACAGCTGTTTCGTCCAGGATTCGAACCCATGACCTTCTGGTTACAAGGCGAGCTAGCTCGTAGACCATTGAGCCACTGGGACCCGATCCAATGGTTCTTGAATTCTAATTTCTCTAACTGATGTCAGCTCATGATTAAATCCTCCATACAATTAAACAGAATCCCTACAAAACCAATACATGAAGATATCTATAGTGACAATATATTCTTACAGCAAAATTATTTTTTGTTTTATTAAACAATGAATGATAAATATAAAAGCTAATCTGGTCACTTTTTGAAAAGTGTAGAATCAGACCATATGAAATAGAAAATAAGAAATAAAATTAACCAAAAAAATTATCAACATCAACTGTTGTATCAAATGACCTTTCATGGCATTTTACTTAGAATCTGTAGGAATAGATTTCAACCAGGAAATATTCTTAAATACCGTTTTTCGAAAAAGGTATCCCAAATAATCTGCTTACGTGTTATGATCTATCTCAACTGACAAGGAACACTATACTCATGTGCTTACCGATAACTACAAGCGAGTACTCAGTGCTGAATATCATTCAGTGAGTTTTCGACTTGTTACCAGGGAATAGTCTTATGGACTTAGAATATGCAGATGACATAGACCTGTTAGGGGAGGATGCTGACAAAATGCAGAGTCTTCTGAACACCTTGAGCAGCAGTCTTCGTATGTTTGGCATGCGATTCGCCCCTGAAAAATGTAAAATGCTGCTAAATGACTGGTCTACGTCAACTCCTGGCTTAGTGATAGGGAGTGAAGTGATAAGAACATGTTGACCACTTCACTTATTTGGGAAGTTGTATTAGCACCAACAGACTGATTGGCGATGAAATCTCAGCCCGGATCCAGAATGCTCGAGCTGCTTTCGCTGACTTACACCATCTGTGGCGTAGGCGTGACATCCGGCTACCAACCAAGGGACGTGTGTACTGCTCAGCTGTTCGTTCCGTCCTTCTCTATGGCTCTGAAACATGGCCAATACGAGTTGAAGACATGAAAAGGTTGACTGTTTTTGATCACAGATGTCTACAATCTCTTTCTCACGTTAGGTGGTTTAATAAGGTAAGTAATGTTGACGTTAGGCTTAGAGTGTTGGGCAAAGAGGGAAAATCAATCAACGAGGCTATAAAGTTACATAGACTAAGATGGCTAGGTCACGTGCTGCTCATGCCTAACCACCGCCTCCCCCGACGGGCATTGCTAGCTGATATAGGTTCAGGTTGGAAAAGAGCCAGTGGTGGCCAAACAAAAACATGGCCTCATCAATCCATGAAGTCCTTGACAGTTAAACTGAGTCAGGTAGGGAGATGCAGACTTCCGGGTTGGGGCCCTCGGGACTCTAGAAATCAATGACTGGAGACAATAGGTGAAATGGCTCAAAATCGTTGTCAATGGCCAGCGCAGATGTATTCAGTCTCTGTAATCTTTCATATTCCTTTCTACCATTACCCATTCTGTTTTACTCTTATACTTGTCAAACTGTATTGATTCTCTTCACTTATCTTCTTGTCTACCTCTGTATGCTATTTGGAACGTGGCAACTCGAACTGGTGCACTTCGGTGCCAAGTTCTATGTTGAATCCAGACAGACAGACAGACAGACAGACAGTGAGTTTTCCTTTAACCTAATAAATTCGATCATAAAAACCCCTCCCCTAGTGCACACTTGAACTTATACTTTCTTTTGTGTACAAAGGTTTTATGTTTATTAACCTTATGATTGAATCAAATAACAATAAAGAAAATAATTACCCATAATTTGATATCATTAAAAGTTAATGGTTACGTTGTTTTACTAGGATAAAAACGTAAATTTAGCTCTGTAATGTGTAAGTTTACTCAAACACTTTTACTAATTTGAACACTATAAAATGAAGAGGCATTATGAAACTCGGTTCAGTGAGTTTCTGTTAAACGGGTCAACAGTTTTAATCGAAAAACAGCACACTGCAAAATTAAGCAGTGGTTTATATGTAGGAGGAGTACGCGTACGCTAATCAAGTGTAGACTTAATATCGACTTTAAACTACTTTCTTTACATCACTTAATCAAATCAAAAAGTGATTCAGGCGTCGAATTCTACAGTCGGAATTTTATGACAAGGATGCGACAGTCTTGTATACTCTAAAACAGATTTTATTAAGTCATCTTATTCATTACAAAATATTTGCATGCACTTCATTGAATGTAAGGACATTAAAGCATTATGATGTAGTCATACAAAAGAATAAAAGTATGTCATTTTCTAATATAGCACGACAAGCTTTCATTACTCTCAATTCTTTATGGAGGTCAAAAGCACTTAACATCAAAAATAAGATCCGAATTTTCAACTCCAATGTGAAATCAGTGCTACTAACTATACGGATCAGAGACTTGGCCAGTGCATCATAAAGAGCACCTCAAACAAACTACAGACCTTCATCAACAGTTGTCTTCGCTCAATACTCAAGATCAGATGGTGGCCAGAAAAGATCAGCAACAGGGATCTCTGGGAGCGAACCAATCAGGAACCGATTGTGCAGCAAATAGACAGGAAGAAATGGAGATGGAGTGGCCATACTCTGAGGAAACCAGCAAGTGAGTGACATCACTAGACAAGCCATTGCTCGAGTGGAACCCAAAAGGGAATTGGCGAGTTGGTCGTCAGTACAAGGGTGAATTGTAGGAGGTCATGTGAAGAGGAGACGAAAGTATGTGGGCAGACTTGGAGCCAGGTGAAAATTCTAGCAGAGAACCGGACGCAATGGAGACGTGCGGCTAAAGCCCTATGTTCTTCTAGGAATTATAGGAAATAATAATAATGTTCTGATATAATACTATGATTTAGACTTCGTGATCAAGGCAAATATATCTGGCAGTTTATCTACAACAAAGCGTAACGTCTTTTGACCCTTTAAATATGAACTAATCTACTTCTCGGCGACACTGGTTCAGCGGTAGAGTGCTGGCCGACCACGCACATGGTACGAGGTTCGAGCCTCAGCCGGCACAAAGCTTTTCCTACCTTAGCTGATTATAGTGCGGACAAAGAGGACAGGTTGGGTGCGAGGCTGGCAACTCCACCCCGCAAAACAGCAACACTGTTAATGAAACTTCAAAGCGAAATCTTGAAGCATTATGTTCCACTGAGAACGCAAAGGAATAAACAAAAAATGAATTTCTATTCGAATTATCATACATTCTGTATGACATTTAGCATAACAAAACTCTCTTTCTGTCAAAAAAATTCTAGGGTTTGAAATTGTAAATCTGCAGTTAGGAAGCTACATATGTAAGATAATATCATGACTCCAATTTCTGTAATAGTTCCCGCTTAAAGTTTTAAAGTGGTATACATCTACACACAGAAGTTGCTGAAACCGTATTGAAAATTAAGGAAAGGCTGAGAAATGTAAATATCTCACATTTTACCTTATTTCATAATAACTAAATTTAGTAAAAGGAACAAGTCCAAATTTCTGAATGTTACTGGTTCCAGAAATCTTGTTTTGAGTAATGCCAAGTCCATTTGTTCATAATGAAAATAAAATGTTTTTCAATGAAGTGCAGATGAGCTAAAATAAAAACTTTATACCCTACATGGAATTTAAATACTAAAACATACTCTGTTTCCTGATCAAGTTATTAACTACTTGGATAATCTTCGCATACGGTTTGGTCTTATTCATGCTCGGTAATTAAGTGTGAAAGCATACTGAAACCTTAACCCCTATTTATGGATTAAATGATACTATAACTTCTAAGAGAAAAAAATCACGATATATGTTTACAATATTATATCATAATATACAAATATTTTGTTCTAATCAGCTGGTATATTTAACTCGTTTTCTGAGGATAGCTTTTTCTGAGTCTGTTTCAACGTTTAAGAAGAAAACAGCGATATTCTAAGCCGAGTGTTTGTAATATTTCATGTTAAAAATTAACATTCTCACCTTATGTGGAGCGGAAGCAAGTTCGAGTGGAATGCATCCAACTTCTTGGATTTTGGCTAACACGTGGAGACTACAATAATGAACTTCTATCAACAAAAATGTTTCAGAAACATCGTGTTCGGCCTCAAAAACACACTGAGATTACTTTAAATAAATTCATGGACTTTTATGCATTAATTCCACCGTTTCTATAAATTTAACTATCAGTGTGACTAAAACTATCCCTTAGAGGTAGGGGATCATACTAAAGTTAGTCATTTAGAAGCAAGTCTAACATAATAACTGTAAAAAAATCACAAGTACAGTTCCTAAATCGTACTTTTCAAAAACATTCATGGCGGGCTAAGATTCGTAAATTTTTTTGAACTATTTTTCATTTTTGAACCACCATTATTTTACACGAATACATATAATTCATGAGGTATTAATTTGCTTTCTAAAATGTATAGAACATAATAGCTACCCTATTAACAATTCATGTAAAATTACTTTTAAGTATTTCTTGATCAGCATCCCATTTTTTGTATCTTTTGATCTGTTCCTGGAAAGATAAGAAAAATTACGCTGACTAATAGACATACTAATCGAATAGCAGAAAACAGAACTGCTTTCTCGTGATCTGTTAGTGCATCAAGTATTTCCTGTTCCACTTGCATATTTTTAACCATACGCTGAAATAATTCACTCCTCGTTGGTTCTTGAATCATTTTATCCTGCAGCTAAGGAAAGTAAATCCAGGGTATCGAAAACAAAATAGAATTTCTAAAGTAGCGCCTTATTAGTACAATTATGAAAATTGGCACGTTTAAAAATCACCATCCAGTAAATTCTAAGAAGTAGTATGAACCAGGCAATAGATTTTCAGAATAACCCTATGGCTTTTGTGTCATCTTTCATTAAATTTACCTTTTTTAAACAATGATGATCCTTTCTATAGTTTTGGTTTGTAAGGATTAGTTATGTTTTACGAGTTGATCACGGATTGATATCAGTTAGAGAACCATTGAAAACCAGGGAGTACTGGACAGCTGTGTTTCATCCTAGTTTGGGAATCATCGGCAGTACGCACCCACTGGGTTTCGAACCAGGACCTTCCGGTTACAAGGCAAGCTCGTATACCATTCAGCCACTGGAACCCGATTCAATGGCTCGTGAATTCTAACTTCTACCAATTCGTGATTTAGCGCGACCCCAACCATTGTCGTTGGTGGGACATCCATCCACACACGTGACATCTAATTGGACCTCACTGGTCACGACTTGCCTTGTAACCAGAAGGTCCTGGGTTCGAAACCCAGTGGGTGCGTACTGCCGATGATTCCAAACTAGGATGAACAGGTCCAGTACTCCCTGGTTTTCAATGATGATCCTGTTAGTTTTTGATAGGACTATAAGGAACAGGAAGCCCTAAATGCAATGCCCCTACTGAACCTAAAAACTGTCACGTTAATAGCCAGTAGCTGTAGTGCTAACAGTCAATAGATGCGGTGAAGCGGAGAGTTAAGATCCAAGTAAATAAGGTGATCTCATAAGTGTCGAATTCTAGTAAGAAGGAGGACGTAATGCCAAAGACAGTATCTACAACCAGTTCTATTACTGATGGATAAGTGGGGAAGAATCTTCCTATTGGCCACTCGTCATGTCGTCCTGGGAATAAACGCGTGCACGCCATTTAGCATACCCAAAATCAGATGGACATTTGGTTTAGACATAAGAAAACTTCCTGACTTGCATTACACTACCTTCTTCTCCCACTGCCTACTGTGATAGGAGGCTATGTCTACAAAATTTTTTCTGATATATGGCCTGACATCGGAACTGTTTCATTCTGAAACGTGTTACTAATCTATGAACAGCATTCTGGTCATAGATCCTACAGGCGCAGTTCCTAGGTGTCTGTAATACCGTAGACAGTCCATCCAATCATTTATGAAATTTATGAACACTCCATTTAGGTAACATCTCTTAGAGTTAAATTACGTTTTCTCGCGGTTCAACAGGTATTTCATCTGGCTTTCTGCCGTGGCACTCTTTCTAGTACCTCTGATCTGCTTGAAGTAATTTCCGTGGTCATTTATCACACCTCTTTCAAGTTACTTTTCAGCTAGACCACATGTTCTGATGCTATCAGTATACCCTCACCGTGTGTGCCTGGAGTCAGATCAATCGGCAGGCAGAGTCCTTTTCCAGTAATTACATAATGAAGCACCTGACGTGTGTACAGCTTGCTGAACGCTCGCTCTGTACGCTAGTAGACGCTGAGAAAGAGAGATACATCTGCCCCGTTCCCCAGGATTACCTTGGTCCACAAATGCCTGGAGGAGGGATCTGAATGACTGACTGGTGCTTTCAACTAACCCACTTTCTTGTGGGTGTTGTGCAGTGGTTCCAAGCAAGCACCGTGAAAAAGATTTCTCTAGTAACGACAGCTTCAAAGCTAAACCACCAATGCGAGTGTTACTGAAGTTGTGCTAACCCAAAATTGGTCCCGCTGGTTGTAGTGTTAGTTTAAGAAACAGCGATATCGTCGTACAGTTCCGTGAAATGGTCTACCACGACTGTTATAGGGTTAGTATATCTCAAGGTAACTGTTAGGAAGAGGCAAAAACACATGCAATTATCAGGTCATTTTCATGTCTCAGTCAAGTTATTAGCGTGTCGTTGACATGCATTAGTTTCTGCTTTCTGATTGGACGCTTGCACAATTCCAGACTCTGAACCGGATTGGTTGATTTCCAGTCTACCTTATTTTTGTATAAATACAGTCACCTTTGCCATAAATAGATGATTCTGGTTTTGCCGCTGATTCTCGCGTGTTCTGCTTTACCAGTTAAGTGGGCACTGGTCAGTAGTTAAGCAGTTACCTCGTGACAAAGATCTAGCATCATAACAGTAACTAGGAGAGGCCCAACTAAATCCACTTTTATTAATTCATGTTGAATGTCCGGTTATGATATGTTCTAGGGAGACCCTATTGCATATGTGTTGAAACCTAATATTTTCGCACGTCCCGTAGAAAATCTACGATATCCTTTCTCTGATGGGACCACTGGAAACCCATTCCAGCCTATCCTGTATATTTGCCCGAACCCCCATGGCCTAATTGTTGCTGTATTGACAACAATACTATGTGTAATGCTGACTGTAGGGCCACGACCCGATGAATATATGCAGGATAGTACTAGTTGTAAAAGATGTTGACAACTCTCATGTTGTCCAATTTGGATCCTGCACGTCGTATGCTGTGGCCAATCAGACGCAGTAGATGATTAGAGGGTTCAGAAGTACAGGACGAGTAACTAAGTGGGAGCTATATCTTCTTTAAGATTTGTAGCACTTGCTGTATCTACTTAATGGCAAATGCCACTACTGCATGTTTGACCAGGTCCCCCTTCACTCGCTCTCTGCCATGCTTTCGAAAATAAATGTTTGAAACCATAGTCTTTTACAATTTTACTAGATCTCGGTTGCCAAATTGAATAGCTACCTTCACGGAGAATTCCGTTCCTAAATTCCCAAAGAGACGACGAAGTTTGGCTTTCCCATCCAAGCTTACTTATCTCTTAGGCTGTTAGTCGTTCGCCTACGCTTCACACAGGTTCCCAGGCCACAGGTTAGGGCTGAAGTTCAGGTCAGCTGTATGAATTACGCGTCTGCCATTCGAGCACGTAAACTTGTATCTCAGCGCATTACGGATAGTCACTGTGATACTTCAGTAGTTTTCTTGACAATATATTTGCACTTCCATGGTTTTTCCTAGAACTATGTCGGCATTTGAAGTCCCTGTTGCAAAGGTTCTTGTCATCATGAAATCTGCCCTCAGCTTCCTTGAATATATGTGGCCAGCCAGGGTCCTTGTAATCAGGCCGTACTACAAAGTGTCTACTGAGGAGTCTTTAACAAAGTCGACTAGTACTTGCACTTCTTTCCGTGAGGTGCACCAATTCTTTTGGCCCCGTTGTGTGCACGACTTGCGTATCCCGCCATCCTTTCTTTTCTATCCGCATCTTTTTGCGACAGACAGCTTTTATACCAGCGTCACTAGCATTTGTACCGAAGATGAACGGACCTGACTGCTAAGAAACGTCAGTATATGTCAGGAAATGAGGGCTACATAGAGAATTTTCAAGTCACTCGAGCACTTCAATAACTGATGCAGTTCAGCTGTAGTCCCTCGTTTTAAGAATGCCGCTCAAAGAAATTGCAAGTGGAGAGGAAACAGTTACCAAACGTCTATAATTAGAGGCTGGTCCCAAAAACTATGTAACACGGAAGCTGAGTTGAGAGCCGGCCAGTCTCTAACTTCTTTTTCTGTCGTCGGACCACATTTGGTGTCTTCGGCTGATATACCATGGCCTAAGAAACACGCCTCCTTCCTGAAAACTTGAAATCTTCTTTGGTTCATTCTTAACCCAGCCGTTTGCATTCGTGCTAGTGCTTTAGAAACGTCTTTTATCGCCTTGCGGTATATAACAGCACCATATAATATACCAGGCATAACTTGGTCTACACTAATGATAACATATACCCTCATTTGTTTGTACATGTGGAGCGCCAGTTTACAAACATTATCAACTTGTTAAACAATGTAAAGGTGATGGGATAATATAGTCCTGTTTGGAAGAAAACAAATTACATGATATATCCTTAGGCGTCTTTATTTTTTAAAATTAACGAAGATATGCTCCCCAAATGGACACCACGTTATATGTGGTAGATACGGCGGACTATTCACCAAAACTATTGAGTATAACAGTCTCTGTGATCAAATGTGACAACCCATAACTCTTCGTGGATGATCTCAAGATAGTACATGATTATAGGTGCGATAGCTACTCCCGAAAAGGGTAACACGCATAAACATTCTCGATCCGTATACAACCGGTAAAATGGCTGTCCTTATAGTAGATCATGGGGCAAGCCTTCAAACATTCACATTAAACTAAAAATGAAAGAAACGTACTTCTGGACCGTACGCATACACTCAGGAAAGGACCTCTACCTCCGCATAGACTCAAGCCTGGCAGACCGAATCAAAAGGCGGTCTGTGTCATTGGATTTTGATAGCAAATGATGCCCGGAAATCGTTAGTCTACACCATTCTTTAGTCAACATGGAATACTGACTTTTACTGCTTTGGTCTTTTTCTGAAGGTAGGCAGTCTAATATTCTCGTCATTCGGCACATTGCTGTGTTAGGTTTCCTCGTTGGTGCATGATCCTTAGTTAGTTAAGCGATCGTAATTACATTAAATTTTTTACCCCGAAATATTCTAGTATTTCGGACGACCGAATTGTTGTTGTGATCTGCCATTGGGCTAAGCAGAAAAAGTACTTTAGTAGTCGGGGTATAAAGACGTCCATTTGCATATAGCATGTCTTGCATAACTGTTGTCATCCATCTTCTACCTCCTGAAACAGTTGGCCGAATTCCACCACATCTGAAAGAACCTCGTAATTAAGCGTTTTCCCGTAGTAAAAGTTAGGGTCTGATAATTCCCATACCTCTGAGGAAGCAAATAATTGAAATAGCGGTTTGCTACACTAATGCCCGCCTTCTGTAGAATAGAGGACTGATCTCGGTAGTATGAATTGTACTCAAAATCGAGATGCTTTCGGCGCAACGGAATCAGTACCAACATCCAAAATCAGAGACAGGCTTGCTAAAATTCAAAAATTGGAAGTGCATAAGACAAATCAAGTAAACT